ATGAGGGCAATGAATGTACAAATGTGCTTTACACAACTGATGTATGTATGGATTGTGATAAGAGTTGTATGAGCCCCTAATAAAATAATTTAAAAGAACAAAAACATGTAAGAAAGAAACAACCAACCCCCCCCAAAAAAACAACAACAACAAAAAAAAACCCACTGCTTTTTGGAGTCAATTCTAATCATTGGACCTTACCCAACAAGAGCAGCACTGGCTCCCAGGGCGGGTTTCCACGGCTGTACCCTTACGGGTGCAGGCCGTTTTATCTGTCTATGGGAAGCACTGGTGGTTCCAACCACTGACCTTGGTTAGCAGCCAAACCCTTTGGCTATTGCACCAGCAGACCTCTTTTATTTTTTGTTTAGGCTCCTTTATGTTTCCTTTTTTGTTTTTTTAATTAGTTGGGATTTAATACATATATCATTCCATATTTCAATCACGTCAATGAGAATTGTACAATTGCTACCACAATCAGTTTTCAATGATTCTTTTTCTACATGGACTCTGGGACATCGTCTCCCTTTTACACACCACACCACCACCACTGTACCCCCCACTCCCAGAACCCCTTATATTTTACTTGCTGTCCCTATAGGTTCATCAATCCTGGGTTTCATATACCAAAAAACAGAAAAGCATACAACACAGCTTCCAGAGGGTGACCTCCATTGACATAACACCTGAGATATACTCTACTGTGAATGAACAAAAACTCCACAAAACAATACAGACCAAAAATACAGAAAATTTTGGATACCAGATCAGATCCAGCATGCAACATAGGGGGAATCTACTGACAGAGTTTCAACCGTTCAGGTCAGATTTATGCCTTTGATCATCTATACGTCTCTCTCCCAAGCACTGTTTAGTGACAACTCTCCTCCCATCCCTCAGTTTTAGATAGGAGGAGTTCTCTGGAGGTTTATTTCTGACATAGCTTATTTCCTTGCAGATTCATCCATAAATGAACCTTGGGTTCCTACTGTCATCCATCGTCTTCTGCACACTGGATTTTCACAATTTAGGTTCTGATACTGATCCCTGCTTACACCTCAGATTATATGGATTCCCATCCTTGGTGACTGATGAAGATGTGCTTCTTCCATGTGGACTTAGTTGACCTCTCACTTAGATGGCTGCTTGTTTGGAGACAAGCCTTTAAGACCCTAGCTGCTATTTTATCTGATAGCCAGGTACCTTCTAAATTCTTCGCTACATTTTGCTACAGCACCCATATCTTCAGTGTTCACTTCAGCAGGCCTCTTTTACTCACTTAGGATGCTGCTGTTGTCATGGACCATCAAGTCTATAGTGCTTGAGCTTCCTAAGTCTGTGCTTCTTCACTTTCATCAAAAGAGATTGTATAGTCTAGCTTCTCAGACTCTTTGCTCAGTCTATAGATTGAGTAAATGTGGCCAAGTTGTCCAAGTTTCCTGATTTCGAACCATGCTGTAGTCCCGGTTCCACAAAATTTTACTTGTTGGTGATAGTACACATATTGTTTGATAGTTTCCACATACTGTTGGATCAGCTTTCTTTGAAATAATCATGAACATCTATCCCAGTCTTCCAAATTTCTGCATAAGAGGAGGCTTCAAAAGTTTGTGGAAAAATGGAACTGAAGATACTGGAATTTCCCTATGGACTTTTCAAAGCCTCTTCATAGACAAGTGATCACTTCTTCCAAGACTGCATTTGTTTGTGGAATATATTAAAGTGAGTCAAAAAGTACTGCTACTAGGATTCCAGTTGAAATGGGTAGTTTATTCCCAACAAAACCTGTTTAAACACGTTTATGTGTTCAGTGGATGGATGCAGGTAAGTTCTCTCAGTAATACACTTTTCTTGGTCTTATAAGAGTGCCCCAGGAAAAGACACAGTGCCACTAATGGCATGCTTGCTATCTGGTGTCACTTGAGGGCTCTGGATATCTTAGGGCAGCAGTACATAGAAAACACAGGGAATTCATCACAATCATGTCTCCTTCTGAAACCAGTATTAAATAGCTGTTTCTCATTCTCGCAGCCATTGGGTCAGTTCCGACTCGTGGCCACCCTAGAGGGCAGGGCAGAGCTGCACAGGTGGGTTTCTGAAACTGTAACTCTCTGCGGGAGTAGGTGGGCTATGTAATAAGCATGAAAGTGAAGGGACCCATGGCCCTACTGCACACAGCTATTCAGCTACATCTTGCTAGAAGAATTCTGTTAAATTAGACAGATTACAGCTGCTATGGAGGAAATTAGGAACCATGGAAACAAAATCGCCACTTCTGAGACCTTGGAGGTTTCCACAGAGAGGGTAAGGGTGGGAGCCAAGACAAGCTCACTGCCATTATAAAAACATCTTTCCTGAGACACCCGACAAGGCCCTTATCCCCCTGAATTTGGGCTGAACAGAACAGATCTTCAAAACTTTAGAAGAGGTCATTACATCCAACAGATTTAAAAGAAAATATGGGGCCAAAGTAAGGCCACTCAAGGTGATTCTCGCTTATGAAGCTGTTGCTGTTTCCCAAAGGAAGGTAGGATTCTGCAATTCTTCAAAGTTTTGGCACCTACCTTCTTTGTATCTGGGGTGATTTTCACTAATTTTTGTCAGACATCTCTAGGTTTTCAAGGATCTGATTAAAATAAGTTTGAGAGATATCTAAAAAGGAAAGATCCAATCAAAACAGGACTGCTGCTGGGCCAGTTTAAAATTTCAAGGCAGAGGGGGTTGGCTCAAAAGGTTATGTCGTTGTTTCTAAGTACCATCAAATCGATTCCAACCCATAGCACCCCAATGCAAAACATTTGGCACTGTTCTGTGCCATCTTCACCAGGGTCCCCATGCCAGAGCCCATTGTGGCAGCCAATGTGTCAATCCATCTCCTTGAGGGCCTTTTCCTTTTTCACTGCCCTCCACTTTAAAGGTTATGGTGAGTGTTTCTGAGTTTTCAAAGGGTAATTTTGATAGACATTCTCCAGACAGAGGACAATCATTATGAAGACTTTTTTAAAAACTGAAAACTGTACTGGTGAGAAAAAGGCCAGGAAAGTTGCACTAGGATTATTTTTGTTGTTTTTGTTTTTTTTAAATCATTTTATTAGGAGTATTTTTTTTTCTATCAAGACAATGCATTGGCTCATTACTCAGATGCAGCAGGGGTTGTCTGACAAGAGTTTTGTTGAGAACCTTACACTATTCACCCTGATTGGTCCTTTAGACTTCTTTTTGTTCCCAAAACTCAAAGAACATTGAAAAGGAACATGAGTTGAGTCCCTAGAGGGTGCCTCTCTGACATAGTATAAATCCAAGAGTGCAGAATTTTTCAGGGAAGGGTAGAGAGATAGAAAAGCTGCCTTCAGAAGGGTGTAGACCTAGCAAGAGGATATATCAAGAAACCACAGCTTCACATTTTGATATTTTTGTTCAATAAAGGTTTGTCTGATTTTTGAGCAATACCTTTTGAGATCCTCATACTTTGCCTTAAGCAAAAATCTGTAAACCCTGGGACAAAATTTAATTTACTTCCGTAATCACATACGTCAGTGAGCTGTGACAAAGACAGCGACCCTAATGTGATAAAATGTCCTTTAAGACGAGATTCTGAGGCTTCCTTTAGAGTGACAGAGGTGGCGGGATTAATAAGAACGAAGGTAAATAAAGTGAAGTCCAGTGAAAAATCCATTTTCCAAGTCCACTTCCTGGCAAAAGCCATTCATGCATTTGTCTTGCGTGAGCAAAAGGTTAAAACATAAGGCTGTTTTCCAAACCTTCTAATTCCAATGAGTCCATTCTAACTTGTTATTTATTCCAGTCTATTTATTCTCATTTATGGAAGTGCGGAATAATTCATAAGAGTCAAAGAAAGAAAGTATTGGAGTCCTTACCCTTGGCAGGTTTTTCCTTTTCCGGTTGGCAACTTCTCCAGCTCGGAATAGCTTCCATTCAGTTAAAGTGACGGGCAAAGTGGCATCCTTTGTAAGCTTCGACCGTAAATAAGCTTGTGAGTTCTTCAGTTCCATTGTTTTCCGGAGAAAGAACTGAGGTTTGGGAGGAAGCTGAAAGTGGGGAAGATAAAGTGGTAAGGGGTCAGGGTCCAATCCTCTAGTTTATGCCTGTGTTTTCATGCGAAGTCAAAGCTATCCCAGAAGCATATTTATCTTATCTTGCCTATAATAATGGACTTGTGCAAGGATTCTCTATTTTCTTCCTCACCATTTATAGACAAGTTTCTCAGGTTCCTAATCCAAAATTCTTCTATTACAATGTAATCAAATTTTCAGTAAACAATGGCTCCCAGTCCTAATTAACTCAAGGAGCCTATGCTGTCATGGGTTACGGATGCGTTTGGGCAGGTAATTTAAGCCACAGCTAGATGAAATTAATGAGGAGTCATGGGAACTGGCGTGAACTGAAAATGAAAAGTTCATGCCTGGTCTAAAGGCACGCATATTCAAATTCAAAAACAAAGTGCTAACACAAAACAAAAACATTGTACTGTCCCCCAAAGCAAAGCAAATACAAAAACACATTCTCAGTGCCTGTTGATTTGGGCCCCAGTTAAACCATCTTGACCTATTTGTAAGGATCTAATTAACACTAAACGTCTTCTTCCATTAAATTCTTCGATCATACCTTGGGTGTTTTGAAAGTGTTTTTAGGGGGCGGCAGCTTCCATGCTGAAGGGGATCTCCACATGGGTAAGGGCTGTATTGGAATATCTTCATATGGATTTTCTTTGGCTGGATCTTGGAAAATAATGAAGAAAAAAATTTTGAGATAAACATAAACAAAAACTAAATGATCAGAGCTAGAAAAGGAAAGAAAAGGCTACTTTCCATTTTCTTATTCTACTCTGCTGACGGAATAAGCATCTTCAAAACCAAGTCCCTTTATGCTAATAAGCAATCTGTACTTCCTCTAAACTAAAAGAATCCTTAAAATACTAAAATAAAGCCATCTACTCTACACTGAGCTACCCCATTACCCAGTGTGAAAGATCTATTAAAGAACAAAGGATACTATTCACTGAAGATTTCCATCATCTCAGTAAGATATACTCAATGGTGAAAGCAAATACCATCTTACTGTTAAGGGCTCCACTACATACATATTCATTCAGTTTAATTGCAAAGTTTGTGGGCACGTACACAAGATATCCTCATAGATATTGTCCTCAGACTGAGTGTGATAAAGTGCTGGACCAGAATTTCTTCCAAGTTCTTCATGAATCTTCTGTGCATTCCGATTTCGAAAGTGCTGAATATCCTCGAATTCAAAGGATTTCCTTAAGAAAGGAAAGACACTTTAAAGTTAGGCCTTTCAAAACTCTCCTTTTTACATTGGTAGGGTAAACCACTATTGACTATTAATGGACTTGCAGAAACTATTACCAATTGTTCTGATCAGCTACCTAAGAATAATAAACCAGGCAGCTCCTCTGTGTGTGCAGTGAGAAAAAAAGGAGGCTTTTGGCCAATCACACCCATGTTGTCATTCAGTTCCTTTCTCAGATCACTCCCTCACAAAGGGTGGCGCCAAGCCCAACATGCCCTGAATGAAGTGGACGACTAGAATTCTTTCCCTATGGAGTTTTAATATATAAAATTCCAGTTTTTCTGATGTTTGCCAGTAGATTGTCTTAGCGAGCTCCAATGGTGGGGGGAGATTGGGAGGAAGGTCGTTCCTATAAAAACACCCTATATGACAGAATAGACTTGCCCCATAAAGTTACCGAAGCTCCTACCCATTTCCTCTACTTCTACTTTCCCCACTGTGAGTTAGTCACCTTCTGGATGTTCAAACCAGGGTTGTAACTCTAAAAGAGAAACGGGGTTGGGTTGGGGGGCAGGGCCTCAATAATTATACAAATCACTAGTTATAGGATAAAAACATACCTTTTAGATCTCCCTCTGATTTTTCCACCATATTTCTTTGGTTCAGATTCCTGAGAAGGGGCAATAGATGCTGCGTGAGAATTATTTTCACAGTGTTTTCTGTCACAGTTTCTTTCTTTATATGCCATAACGCCAGATTCAGATAAGTATCTGAATGTCCTGCGAGGTTTTGGCAAAGGATTTATAGATGGTCCGCATTCTTGCCCCTCGGGTTCAGAGTAAATATTCTCTAAACTCTTAGTTTCTCCACAGGAACTATCCAGAGCGCTGAAATCCAGTTTTTCTGAAGAGTCACAATTTCGTAAAGCCAAGTTTAAGACTTTATCTGGGGGAAGGGCTTCAATTTTCTTCCACAGTATTTGTGAGGTATAGAAGTTCCCTGGGGGTAATGACGTCTCTGGGTCCAACACAACTTCTTTCCAGTTTTCGATGCGTCCGGCCCGAGAGCACTCCCATGCCGTGCCTGAGCCATTTCCACAGAGACCTGCATCACTGTGTTTAGAATTTTCGCTTTCATCCTCACTTTGCTCACGGCTTTTGGCATCTTCCCGCAGATCCAGACCCACCTTCTGAGAGCTGCTTACATCCAAATCTCGACTTCTCCCCTGAGCAACAAGTCTTTTCTTGGGAAGGATGTCCTGGTGCTGGTTGTATTTCACTCCAAAGTCCTTTGGGTGCCACTCTTCTGGATTAGATTTCCCGTTTGTCCTTCCTTCCCACTGAGAGATTTTCTGTTTGATGTTTTTACAGTGACTTCTCGAGAGTGTCTGAGCAGCAGAACGAGAAAACCCAGCATCCATGTTCCCTGTTGGGTGCATGTCAAGCGGTGAATTTTACAACAAAGGGTCCATTACACGGAACCGTGGAGCGCTGCATCCTTTACTCTGTCAGTGAGGAACAAGCAACTCCACTCGTTGCTTTTCATCTTCAACTTGAAGGGCTCTTTTTAAAGAGAAAAAAATTCGTCCTTGATCCTTGCTGAGAACTGGCACGGCTTTATCTTGATTCTTTCTATTAAAATGAGATGAGAGTGTGTTAGTATGGTTCTGTAACTTCCCAATGTCAACTCCACTAAACTACGGCCTTCCCGTCTGTAACTGGTTCTCTAACAATGCATATGTACACACGGACTTGTCATCTATTAAGTAACTCAGCTTTAAAAGGCACTCCTACGATGCTGGACGCAAAACTACTGAGAAAACACTGCTTCGTGTATTTCTCAAGTAGCCAGCTTTAATGTCCTGCCATATTTAATTTCCTAAAGTTGGGTGGGATATAATTTTAAAAGAGATTATACATAGCAGTACACAATGTTATTTTTTAAATTAATCATTTCTTTATGAATCTTTCTCTTAATGAAACAAAGGCCAGTGCCAAGTATAAAATGCATACATATACAGAAATACAGCACAAATGACCTGAATGTATATATTCAGAGCAAGAGACAGTCTAGAAACACGTCACCAGCTAATTTCACCCTCCTTTCTAATGCTGATAAAATATTAGCTTATCACCAACCCTCACTTCAACTTCACTATTAGCAGTTGCTAGATTCCATACCCAAAGAGCTGACGACCGTCCAAGGTGTCTTTTAACTCAGTACTAGTTGTCATTTTCTTTTTTAGCTTCCTGTCTCTTTTTTCAGAGAGAGTTGCTTTAAAATATAATCTATTGTCACTGACTGAACTTCTCATATCTCTGCCACCACATGTTTGGCCCAAATCAGCAAAAATACTTACATATGCTGTCACATTCCTTCCTTTCACACAGAAGCTTCACTCAGTTAGGCCCATAAACTATTTCCTCAAGGGTAAAATTTGGCAGAAACTTTTTCTACCGACGACGGAGCGAAGACCTGATCTCAAGTTCTACTCTGGATTAGTTATAAATAGCAATTGATTCAAAACTTCCTGAGGCAGGGGTCATCCTTCCGTGAGCTTTGTCTGTGTGGCCTTGATTAACTAACAGGCAGGAAAATATCTTGGCTCAGCAGCTGACCGACACTGATATACACCACACACACACACACACACACACACACACACACACACACACACACGGGGGCGCAACTTACTGTAGCAGGGCAACTACTAATCAGGACTTCCATCAACTTTCACTTTCACACATGTGCAGGAACACCAGCTTTGTCAGTAAATACATGTTGCGGGGGTTGGATGCAAAGCAAATCATTAAAAAACCCATGCATGTAGATGGGAACAAACAATAACTAAAACAACCCCCGCCCCAATACCAAAAGACTAACGCACAGAATTTGAAGAGTTACTCATCTATCACTCATGACTAAAAGTCTTTCTGACTCCATTGCTTATTGAGGATCCCTAAGGACTGGGGGTGTCCTGAGACTCAGTTCTCCCTCCCTATACACAAGATGAGAGTTTTTCCTCTGGCCCCCGGAAGCCTAGTAGAAGTTCGGGGCTGTCTTTGTTAATTTGTTCTTTACTCCTCCTTGATTGTGTTTTTAGTGAGAATGGGTCAAACTGAAGTGAACCCTAGTTATAGAGGGGTTGGTTCGAACTCCCCACTGCTCTGTGGGAGAAAAACCTGGCCACCTGCTTCCCTGCAGATTCATGGGCTTGGACGTCCTATGGGTCAGTTCTACTTTGTGCTGAAGGCAATGGGTATAAGGGTGGGTTAGGTCAAATTGAGGAGAAAAAGATGAAAATTTCTAGGGCAAAAAAAGATGATCAGCAACAGATTGCTTAGGCTATGTAATCTGTGCCCTGGTGCTGTTTCCATGGTAGACAAGTTGTACAGCAGTGTAAGAAACTCCGTAACATAGGCAGATATTGTAAAGAGGAATCTTAATTGCTCCAAAATGTGCTTACTAATACATAGCAAATTAAAAAAGCAAACTATCATAAAATCAAAAATATTTTAGTTCATTTAAAAATTAAATCTATAAATGTCTTGAGAATGATGATGGCAACAAATTTACAAATGTGCTTGACACAATGGATGGAGGCATGGATTGTAATAAGAGTTGTACGAGCCCCCAATAAAATGATTTTTAAAAGAAAAAAATTAGATCTATGTTGATAAAATGTTTTTACATCTGATTTCAGTGCTAATTTTTGCCAAATAAATGTAAACCCTTTCTAATGTGGCTTGCTTAGACTCATTCACCCAAACAAGAGTTTCTTCAGTTTTCATTCTTACAGGTACCTCATAGCTAACTCTCCCCTCACCCTCATTGTATTCTGAGCCACCTGGCACCCAGCAGGATTAATGTATATAAACCACACTACCAAAGACAGTGTGCATTAGGAAAGGGGTACACCAATGGATCCGTAGAAGGATACAGAGACCATAAATAGACCCACATTTACACAGTCAATTGATTTCCACAATGCTAGTGAGTTACTTTGATAGCGAAAGGCTCATCTTATGGAAAAAATGAAACACAATCCTTACTTCATACTCTTTAAACATTTAACTGGAAAGGGATCATAAACCTTAAATATAATGCCTCCAACTCTACACCTTCTGGAAAAAGAGAAAATCTTTATGACTTTGAAGAAAGACAATGATTTCTTAGGACACAAAAACTCTAACCATAACGGAAAATAAATTGACAAATTCATTAACAAAATTCAAACATTCTGGTCATCTAAAGATTTTGTTTAAAAATTGAAATGATAAGCCATAATCTGGGAGACAATATTCACAATACATATTTCTTTTTTTTAAATCATTTTATTGGGGGTTCTTACATCTCTTATCACAATCCATACTTTCAGCCATTGTGTCAAGCACATTTGTACATTTGTTGCCATCATCATTTTCAAAGCATTCTCTTCCCACTTGAGCCCTGATATCAGTTCCCCATTTCTTCCCCTCTTCCCCCACCCGCCCTCCTTCAAGAACCTTTGATAAGTTATAGATTACTTTTTTCATATCTTACACCGTCCTCTGTTGCCCCTCACTCACTTTTTCTGTTATTTGTCCCCCTGGGAGGGGGTTATATATAGATCACTGTGATCGGTTTCTCCCTTTCCCCCCACCTTCCTCTTACTCTCCTGGTATCTCTACTCTCCTTGTTGGCCCTGAGGGGTTAATCTTTCCTGGATTCCCTGTGTTGCAGGCTCTTATCAGTAGCAGTATGCATGCTCTGGTCTAATCCAATCTGTAAGGTAGACTTGAGGTCATGGTAGTGGGGGGAAGGAAACACCAAAGAGCTAGAGAAAAGTTGTGTGTGTCATCGATGCTAAACTGCACCCTGACTGGCTCATCTCTTCCCTGTGACCCCTCTGTGAGGGGATGTCTAACTGTCTACAGATGGGCATTGGGTCTCCACTCCATACACACACACACACACACACATACACACACACACACACACACCATTCACCTTGGATATGGTTTTATTCTGGGTCTTAGATGCCTGATACCTAATCCCATTGACACCTCATGATCATGCAGGCTGGTGTGCTTCCTCCATGTGGGCTTTGTTGCTTCTGAGCTAAATGGCCACTTGTTTATCTTCAAGTCTTTAAGACCCCAAATGCTGTATCTTTTGATAGCCGGGCACCATCACCTTTCTTCACCACATTTGCTTATGTACCTATTTTGTCTTCAGCAATCATGTAGGGAAGGTGCGTATCACAGAATGCCAGATTCTTAGAACAAAGTGTTCTTGTGTTAAGGGAGTACTTGAGTTGAGACCCGATGTGCATCTGCAACCTTAATTCTTAACATATAGATATGAGTGCATAATTCTATTCCCCTCTCATTATATATATTTTTACATATGTACATGCCTGTATTTAGGCCTCTATAAAGGTCCTGTGCCTCCTGGTTCTTTCCTCTATTTACTTTTTACTTCCCTCTTGTCTCACCATCATGTTCGGCCTCCATTCGGGCTTAGTAATTCCTCACTGCTACATTGCCCTTGATTGAGCCCCAGTAGGCATCCTACAACCTTACTTCCATTGATTTTAGTTCACTTGTTGTTCCCTTGTCCCTGGCTTAGCCCACCCCTCCTTCCTTTCTCCCACCTCCCCATCTCCCATATCCCCAAGAACCACTTGTCCGGTTCTTTTTATCTCCTCATTATTTATCCCGCTAATCTTATCTAGATAGACATGCAGATAAATCAGTAAGTGCAAAAACCAGACAAAGCCAAATAAAACAACAAAGGAAGTCAAAATCAACAAAACAATAACAACATCAGCAGAAAGCAAGAACAAAATAACAATAACAAAAAGAAAGCCACTGACAAAAATGTAAAAGCCTATAAATAGTTCAAAGTCTGTTTGTTGGCCTTTATGAGTATTTTCCAGTCTAGTCTGATGGGGTGCCACACTCCGTCTCCCCAGTCTATTTTCAGGGTTTTTATCACTCTGCTCCCCCTGCTGCTCTGCTGCATGACCTCAGTGCTTCACCCCAGTGTGATGAGGCCAGACCGTGCACTGTTCCCACACTGTGTCTCCAGTGCTGTCCCCAGCAGTGTCATGGTTTAGTAAGGGATGCCGTGTCCAATGGTGGGGCCATCCCTACAGTCCTCCCCGTGCGTAGGACAACAGATTTTGATCAGGAAATGTAAAATAAGTTATCATACAACAATATTCTTAAACATCAGATATATCTTTCTCAGCAATGCATCAGCCCCCAAGGAATAATATCTATTCACTGTAGTCTTACCTTAAACTCCGGGCTGTTCTTTTACCCTGGGAAACGTGCCTTAGGTGCAGATGCCTATTTTTAAAATGCCAGTTGTAAGTTTAGTGCGAGAGTGACTGCTTATCTGAAGAAAATAGGTGCCAAAGGGATTCCAACTACTCAGCTATGAGAACGAGCATGACCAACAGGGAAGAGATTTGCTGTTGGTATCCTAAGAATGGCTTCTATCAAAAGACAGGATAACATCTGGGAAAGGTGAACCAAGGAACTCTCATTGATTAAAAAAAGAAGTGGCGAACAAAAAATCTTACCATAGTGAATGATGGGGGGAGTGCGGAGTGGAGATCCAAAGCCCATTAGTAGGCCACTGG